CACATTCTATGCCGTATGTCAGCACAAGATCCAAAGTATGAAGATGAGAATGTGTGTCTTAAGTATGAGAGACAGAGGAGGACACAGGGGAGGAGACAGAGGAGGAGATGGGAGAAGACAGGGGAGGAGACAGCGGAGGAGGCAGCGAAGGAGACAGCTGGGGGGGACAGAGGAGGAAACAGTAGAGAAGACAGGGGAGGAGACAGAGGATGAGACAGGAGAAGACAGAGGAGAAGACAGCAGAGGAGGAGAAAGTGGAGGAGGCAGAGGAGACAGCAAATGAGGCAGAGGAGCAGACAGAGGAGGAGACAGCAAAGGAGACAGAGCAGGAGACAGTGGAGGAGACAGGGGAGGAGACGGAGGAGGAGACAGTAAAGAGGCAGCGAAGGAGACAGAGGATGAGACAGAGGGGAAGACATGGGAGGAGACACAGGAGGAGGCAGGGAAGGAGACAGAGGAGCAGACAGTGGAGGAGACATCGAAGAAGACAGCGAAGGAGACAGAGGAGGAGACAGTGAAGGAGACAGAGAAGGAGACAGAGGAGGAGACAGTAAAGAGGCAGCGAAGGAGACAGAGGATGAGACAGAGGATGAGACAGAGGAGGAGACAGCGAAGAAGACAGTGAAGGAGACAGAGAAGGAGACAGAGGAGGAGACAGCGAAGAAGACAGTGAAGGAGACAGAGAAGGAGACAGAGGAGGAGACAGCGAAGGAGACAGAGGAGGAGACAGGTGAGAGGACAGACAAGGAGACAGCTGGGGCGGGGGTATGGAGAGGAGAAGACAGCGGGGGAGACATGGAAGGAGACAGAGGAGAAAACAGCAGGAGAGGCAGAGGAGACAAAAAAGGAGACAGGAGGAGAAGGCAGAGGAGGAGGCACTGGTGAAGACAGGGAAGGAGACAAAAGAAGAGACAGGAGGAGAAAGAGGAGGAGACAGCTAAAAGATTTTACAGTTTATTTGTAAATTAAATTCAAAGACAACACAGAAAAAAAGTATATTATATATTTAAATTCAGATGAAGTCATTTTTGTACAGAAATGTTTGCAGCCATTGATCTGTCTCAGTGTCACAGCAACATAACGAGGAACAGTCCTGCATGTCGGCATACATTCATAGGATGCAGAGGCCTGTTTTACACATTTAAAACCTGAATCAATGGAATGTTGCACCAAACTTTATGACTTCATATTACAGAAATATGCATAATTACCCCCCATAACCTCACATCAGCGACATCGGACATGTCAGGTTTAATGAAATCTAAAAGACAGCTGTTGACCCGGGTACAGGGCAATGTGTCACAATGCAAAAATAAGTCATTTGCTCTTGATTTGAGGAGGAAAGTGAGACACTTTGCCAATAGGAACAAGACAATTTACATTTAAGATAACAAAAACAATTGCATTATCTAATTTCAGGTGCATATTATCTAATTATCTTACTCTAAGAGTAAAAATACTAATTTTATTGGCAAATCATCTTATTTACCTGCTCAAATTAAAGCTAAATACAGTAATTTAAGAAATGCTGCCTTATTTCTAGATTGTTTTGGCCGGTAAGTAATACAGTATCAGACATCTGCAGGGTTTCACTAGTGGGATCTCAGAGCAAAAAAATAAAAAGAAATAAAACAAGTGGTCATTAATTAGACAAGTCCCATTTGTCAAAAGTCAAAGTGTAATCTTCAGTATGAAACTGCTTTGATCTAGAAATAAGAAAAAAAATCTTATTTAGCCTTAATTTGAGCAGATAAAGAAGATGATCTTCCCATGGAATTAGTATTTTTAGCCTTAGAATAAGATAATTGGATAAAATGCACAAGAAATAAGACAAAGCAATTCCTTTTTATTTTAAATTTAAATTGTCTTGTCCGATTGGCAAAGTGTCTCACTTACTTCCTTAATTCAAGAACAAATGACTTATTTAATTTAGACTTTTTTGCAGTGAGGCATAAATGGAAGACATTCAAGCAACAACACTGATAAAAAACGGACAAACTATAACAATACTTTAAGGCTTATTTGATTGAACTTGTTTAGAAAGTTATTTTTATTTGTTAAGTTCTGGATTCTCTTTCCTTCTGCTCCTCTTTTTGACTAAAACAGTCGGACATTCTGGTTCTGGGTCAAAGCTCCCCTTATTTTAATCGGAAGGTTTTTCAGAAGGTAAAACATTTTTTTTTCCCGTGTACGAGGTGCTGGTTGAACGACAGGAGTCCAGTAGCTCAGCGATTAGACCTGGACAGAGGTCTGTGGATAATAATGAACAGAGCGTTTAGTTTGGACATACAAAGCTGCTACGCAGAGCATCGTATGAGCCCAGCTGAATAAAAACAGGCTTATCGTATCTTCTGGTGACGCAAAAGATAAGGACAGAACAAATATAAGCAGGCGGGTTCAGAGTCTCATTTAACATATTCACAAAAACTGAACCAAAGCCTGGTTGCTTTGGATTTAAGCAACAACAGTAAGGCGTATGTTTAGGAAGGCCTAAAGAACCCGTGTGTTTCTCCCAGTCTGAGGTCTCAGTGTGGAAAAAACAGCAACATGTCTGAAGGTTCAACATCCAATCTAGAACCTGGTCTGTTTCCACTTCATCACAACAAATCCAGAGCAAGGTCACGTCCAGGGTCACGTCCCGCGGACATCCTTCCAGTCTCTCCATCTGTGATCCCCAGAAGAATCAGTTCGCCGAGCGGACTGCTCTGCTACTTCGAGGGAAACGGTGGACTTTGATGTGCTTGGACAGGTGATCACTGCGGGCAAATTTCTTCTCACACACGGAACATTGGTACGGCTTTATTCCTGAATGGGATCGTCTGTGACGGGACAGCTCATCAGACCGCGAGAACCTGAGAGGGAGGAGATGGTGACAGAAGGAAGCAGACCAGAACATCAAGGATTAAAAGCAGCAATGATGTCACACAACAGAGTAGAGATTATTCTATTCTAAATACTAAAATAAAGGCATAACATTGTGAGAATAATGTTGTAACATTAAGAGAATAAAGTCATAGAAATAAACTGAATTGCATTGAATAATATTACCACTTTGTTCTCATAGTATTATGACTTTATAATTTTATAATGTTTCAACATTATACACATAATGGAGACAGAGAAGACAGTGGGTTACCACACCTGTAAGGCGAGGCCCCGTTTCACGTGAAATGCTAAAAGAAAGCTAACTGGAAGTAGCTTTCGTTTTCCTGCGTGAAAAGTCACGGATCGCAGTGTCCCACCGTGCATTGCGCCCGCTGAGCTGGGTGAGACAGACGGGAAGCTCCGAAGCTGAAAGCCGTGTGGAATTTCCCCCCTTTGTGAGGACCTCGCTACGGGCCATCAAGTCCTCTGCTGTAGCATCAAACTGATTGAAAACTTTTCCGAGAACGGACCCACATCGAGCTGAGATAATAAGTGTGCTGTGAAAAGCTGCAAGTGATATTTCTGTCTTCCCATCCTGACACACAAGTTCTTCAAAAGTCACTGCATCCCAGAGTACAGCCCGATCCCACAGCATAATACGGCTCATACCGTGGAACCCCCTATTAAGGCATCAGTATACATTTGGAAAATGTAACTGAAAGGTCACCAGGATACAACAAAAAATAAGAGTATAAATCACAAATTCATGGGAACAAACACCACAGCCCCGATGACACTACGACACTACTGCACTGCTGCCAACTCCTCAGCAAGCAAGGTCACTTTTCAGTGGCCTGAGAGTCACTAGAAGTTGCTAAATGACGTCATGAGACAATCTGCATATTTGGTCAAGTTTGATCCAGCCGTAGGAGAAGGGAGTATCAGCATGGGCTCATTATGTTCACTGACTGACGTTTATAAATGCTCCTCACATCTACGTTAACGATGAAAACAAGAGATGAATCTAAAAGAAACATGGCATCAGTGTGCGGCGTGATCAGCATTAGAGTCCTAAACGGATTCCCTCTCAGTCCCCCTTCCCTCTGCTGCTCAGTTCTTCTTTTCTTTCATGCTGTGAGGCGACTTGGACGTTCCAACCCACAGTCATGGTAACTATTCACTGTTTCGTCTTTGTAGTTTTCTCTACCTCTCTCTTTCTCTCTTTCTCCCTTCGACTGGCTGCATGCAAAACTGAACCAGGGCTTTACTGGTCTGACATCTTCAAACTCTCATCCTCATTATGTCCCACATTTTTTATGCTTCTGAAGCTCTTTTTTTTGGTGTGCGTGTGTGTGGGGGGGAATCCCTGTGCACTACTTTACAGTAAGTGGGTTATATTTACTCTGCCTCTCTCCATCACTCACAATCGCCCCCTAGCATCCACACACCAAACACACACATCCTAATTGGGTCCTTTTGTAAAAAGACAAGGCTCCTTTTGTTAGCTGGACCCCGGTGCCTTGGTTAAACCACACAGTGTTCCTCATCCTATCAAACCACGCACATCCTGCCTTATGAGTAAAATAAACAATAGGCGGCTGTTTTAGAAGTAGCTTTCAGTTATTCTTTTAACTGTTGCAGCTAAATTGTAATTTGCTTAACGGAGGTGGAATATAAGACCAAATGTGTTCTATCAAATGCACAGATTTTACCTGGAAGAAAGGCCATCATCCTGGTCGTTAATGCAGCTTTCTATGTTAGCATGGAGGTGGATTCTATAGAGCGAATCGGCATGGGTGTCATGATACCATATCTGTCACGGTAACAGTATGATATTATCTGGATATTGCGATATCGCTATATACTGTGATATTTTTCCAAAATCCATTTATTGTCCCACAAAGGGCAAAAAGATTGTAGATGAATTGTTGCACAAATGTAGACCTTAGAAAATAGTATAAGAATAAGATAATAGAGAAGAGTTACTGTAAAGAGTTTTAACAATATAAAACTGTGCACCTGGAGAATAAATAACCGACATACAACTATGGAAGATATTGATAATTAAGTTATTTTGGTCTCCATGTTGTTTGGGGTTTGAGTCAGTCCAATTCTTCCACTGTGACGGCCTCAACTACAGATACGGCAACGCATAACTAAAGGCAGGAATCTAGTTGTAAAAAAAAAACAAAAGAAGGGGAATGGTGGATTTTTTATTTTTTGGAAGCATATATAGCCTAATTAATATATTCTATTAACCTAAAGCACTATGCATGGTCTGGTTGTTCTATGTCAGGTACGCCGGTCATTGACCTTGACCAAGGCACCTTATAGTAGAGCTGCAGTCAGTTCCTGGACTGGCATGGCTAGCACTGCCCCTACACAGTTAGCATGGCTATCACTGCCCCTACATAGTTAGCATGGCTATCACTGCCCCTACACAGTTAGCATGGCTAGCACTGCCCCTACATGGTTAGCATGGCTATCACTGCCCCTACACAGTTAGCATGGCTAGCACTGGCACTACATGGTTAGCATGGCTATCACTGCCCCTACACAGTTAGCATGGCTAGCACTGGCACTACATGGT